CCTCTCTGACAACACCGACTTTCTCAGTGCCCTGTTCAGATAATGTTCTCTGATTTAAAACCAAGTATCTCACTTCATCTAGAATGTAGGAGAGGAAAGGATCATTGAGTCAATCTATCAGAAATATGTATTGAATACCTACTATGTGACAATCACTTTCCTTGCATGGAGATAAGGCAATGGAAAGACAGATAAGGTTCCTGCCCTCCTTGAGTTGTTGCCTGGGAAGCTGCCTCCAAATACCAGGAGCCTCAAAAGAATAACTACACATGTTTGTAGTTATTTTGAGGATCTCAGACCTCAACTGGCAATGGCTTCCTCTAAATAAGATCATAAAGCTCCTGATGTGTTGTTCCACTGAATCATATTTCACTTTAAGGAAGGCATTACAGTTTCCCCCAATTTACAGATGAGGAATCGACACTTAACCTTCCTGTGGACAGAGAGCTGGTTCTCGGCAAAGCCAGGACTATACCCAGAGCTTCCTGTCCCCAGCTAGGGAGCCCACCTCTCCACGCCTTTCACCTCCATCAATACAGGGCACACACACGACAGCTACCAAAAACCTAAGACAGGGATATCTGTCCAGCTACAGTTATTCCCAATGACGGGTAAGCTGTTATAGAATTGAACATCCCAACCTAAGCCAGACACAGCTCTTATTATGTTGGGCTATGTTTCCATTTCTCATATAAGAAAAGAAAGGGGGATATGTTGGGGGCCTGAAGCTCCACACCCCTTCTTGTGAGACCGCTCCTACGTGACAATCTGCTCAGATGGCTGTGCTTTACATGATAACTGCCTCGAAATCTTTATGCCAGAAACTGATTGCTCCTGGCTATGCAAGTTAATTTGCAAGTGACCTTTTATCCTTCTCTAGAAACTTGTTTAACCATAAACATTCTGGGTGGCAACCTTTACTTTGAATGTCCTGTCTTTGTCTCTCCTCAAGATATTATCATATCTTTACATTCCAGACCCTTTGCAGCATGCCTGCTTTCTCCTATATACTCTGCACTTTTTTCCCGCCTGCCCTGTCCTCACCCCTCCTCCCGGGTAGCAGTGTGTCAACTCCCTATTGGATAAGAGCTCCCCCGCCCCTGGTACCTTATAAAAACCCCTGCTTGCTGTAATAAACAGAGTTCCGGCTTTGACCGCTCTCCTGGCTCGGTGTTCTTTCTTTGTCCCCGGGGCCGAAGCGCAGAGGGGATCGGGCCTGCGACACTCATCATCCCGCTCAGCCCCACAAGAGGTTACCGCCCGCTGGTCCGGGGTCCCTTCCCGACCTGTGTTGTTGGTCCCCGGTGGCGAGGAACCAACAAACTGGGTCCGGGGTCCCTTCCCGCCCTGTGTTGTTGGTCCCCGGTGGCGAGGAACCAACAAACTGGCAGTGCGCCACTTGGGAAGCGCGGTGGCGCTCCTGCTGAGGGTTCGGATCCCACATACAGACCGGTTCCCACTCACTGGCTGAGCGAGGTGCGGGAGCAACACGGAGGGTTGCGATCCGTTGCCGGACACGAAAAAAAAAAAAAAAAAAAAGAGGTGAGCTTTGATCCTGTGTTGAAGGATAGATAACATTTTTGGAGAAAGAGATGAGCCTGAGAGCTCCTAAGGTATCGTCAGCCACCTGAAGGCAGGCCCTATAATGAGGCAGAGCCTAGTGTCTGCAGGGACCAGGAAGTGGACCACAGTGTGAAGGTGGCAGTGGGAGTGAGAAAGGAACCTTGGGAGCAAATTATATAAAGCCTTCAAGGCCAGACTCAGAAGTCTGAACTCGGTTTCCTAAGACACTGGGCAGCCATGAAACACTGCAGAGCAACACAGTATCATGGTCAAAGGGTGGTATAGAAAGGTCAGTCAACAGTGGCAGGAGAGAGAAAAAACCTGGTGCAGAGAGAGCTAGAGTCCAGAGGGAGATAGTGGCTGAAGGGCAGAGAGCTCCAAGGAGAACAGGTGGGAACAGCAAGGAGATGTCAGGGGCGAGAATTGAGAGCACAGGAGTCAAACAGGACTTGGAGCTTCAAGACCAATGCCATCTTTGTCCAGTTCTGAGAAACTCAGAGGACGAGCCCACTGAAGAGAAGAGAAATGCTAACTCAGATTGGGATGTTCCACTCAAGACCAGCAGGCTGAAAGCTGACGAATTCCAGCATGGGACCTCCCGTGAAGCCAAACAGATTTACTATCCCCTCTGTGACATGAAACAGGCCTCCTGTTGTGTTTCTGCCCTCCCAGGAAACAGGAGTTTTCATCAAGCATCAAGCATTTTAAGTGACAAAAGGCAGGACTTAAGACAACATGTACACTAGTCTCCAGGAAAAATGTTAACAATGACTAGCGATGGACAGGCATCATGCGATTTCAATATTTTCTCCTTTTTCCTAGTCTATTTCTAAATTGTTTTACAAAGGGAACATACACTGTTTTTTTAGGGGGGAAAAACATGTAAAATAAGAGGCGGTGATGCCAGGCTTGGGACAGGGTTCAAGGAAGAGCAGGTGCCAAGACTTCATGAACACTCACAGCAAGAGGCCCGCGGGCTCTCCCTGCAGGGCCTAGAACTCCCTTCCAGGATCAGAAAGGCTCCTCGAGAAGGCAGGCTGGAAAACCAGAGAAAGCCAAGGTTTCCAGTCGCATGAAGCTGGGTTCTGATTATGGCACTGCCACTCGCCTGAAGCAAATGACAGTGTCACTTTGCTCACAGTAAAATGGCGATAATTGTACTTGTCTGGAAGCCAACAACAGTACCATACTTCATTGATTCTGACATGCACATTGTTTTTATTTTTGAACATCTCTAAACATTGGGATACATCTTATAATTAATGCCATGTCATAGTTTAATTGGCAGAATTTCATTGTGTTTAAATTCTCTGTAGGCAATGCGCACCTTCCGTATTGCTTGCACCTGGGGGAACCACTCCTACTACCGTGCCTCTTTATGCCAGTGGAGTAAGTACTATTTATTTTCCCTTTCTCACAGATGAGGAGCGGATGTTCAGGAACATGCCCAAGGTCATCAGCTAGTACAAGATGGAGACGGGATTGAATTTATCTGACTTCAAAGCCTGGGTCTTTCCATCCCTTCCGGCTCTCTCCTTCAGAGGGGAGTTCAAAAGACTTTCTGCATTGATGCAGTATTTCTACAAGTGAGAATCTAGAAGGGTCTGTGTGAAAGTGTTAGCATGATTGTCTCGCGGTGGTAGGATTTTTAAGTTTTCTCTTTTGTTTCTTGGTATCCTCTCTTTTTCTTTTTTTTCAGTGAACACACAATGCTAGTCCAGGGAGACAAGCTGGTGGTGGGTGTCCCCATCAGAGCTGCCCTGGGACAGAAGGTCCTGAAAGGCAGTGAAGGCACACAGGCACTACCCACTTCTGGCCATAGCTCCACCGGTAGCACCTCCTACAACCCCAAGCACCTTCTGGAAGGATGACATGCCACTCACACAGAAACCGATGTGTGCACTGTGAAAATCAGGTCAAGGTAATGAGGGGACGTGGGCTTTTGCTCTGTCAGGGAAAACTACTGAGAAGCCACAAGCCTCCAGAAACATTTCAATTAAAATCAGAATACCTGACTTTGCAGAAGATCCTACATCATCCGAGTAACCAGTGGTCTTTAATTGATAATAACTGACTTTTTTTTGGAAATTTGTCCTTAATGTTCCAGAGCATCAAGGTTATTTTGCGAACATTTATTTTCTTTAATAATTCCTTTGTCACACTGATGTTAAAAGTTTGGGTCCATGAAAATATCTGAAGCAACAATGGACAGAATACAATGAGAAACTGAAATCAATCATCATGGTGGGATAGTTCAAGTTCAAGTATGTAGACAAAAAAAAAAAATCTAGCCTATCAAGTGGTGAAGTACTTTGCTCTTCATGTTGGGGTTGAACCACATGACTTGCTTTGGCCAATTAAGTGTTAGTAGGTAGGAGGTGCCCAGAGACCTGCAGAGTGTTTGCGGGACCACACGTGCCCTCTGTGTGTATATGCTTTTCCAAGTAAGAGGGTGTCTGTGTGCATTAGTCCCTTTTCTGTTGCTTATACTTGCTTTGGCCAATTAAGTGTTAGTAGGTAGGAGGTGCCCAGAGACCTGCAGAGTGTTTGTGGGACCACACGTGCCCTCTGTGTATATATGCTTTTCCAAGTAAGAAGGTGTCTGTGTGCATTAGTCCCTTTTCTGTTGCTTATAACGGAATACCTGAAACTGGGTAATTCATCAAGGAATGAAATTCATTTGTTGCAGTTTGGAGTCTGGGAAGTCCACAGTCCAGGGGCACATCTGTCGAGGGCCTTCTTCTGGGTGGGAACTCTCTACAGGGTCCTGTGGTGATGCAGGGAATCACATGATGAGGACGGCAAGGGAGCTCTTTCATGTGCTCTCCTTATAAAGCCACCAGTCTACACCCATGACAACCCATTTAAACCATCAGCCCATTACTCCATGAATAGATTAATCCATTCACACGGGCACAGTCCTCACTATCCAATCACCTCTTAAAGGCCCCACCTTCCATCACTGCCATAATCTGATTTCCCACCCTCTCAACACTGTTACAACTCACCTTCAGTGAGTTCTGGGGGGACATTCAATCCATAGCACTGGGTAAGCCCACTTGCCAGGGAGGAGGACGAAAGACACATGAGGTAGAGAAGAGTCACTGTCACAGAGCCCATCCTTAATCAGCAACCTGCACATCCCAGAGAACAACTGATCCCTGTTTGCAGTCACTGAGCTTGGAGGATTGTCAGGTTTGTAACATAGCATTTTTGTGGAGATAGCTAATCGATACACCTTTACATTAAGAGATTTTGATTCAATAGATCTGAAAAAATGTATTTTAAGCAAGGTACTAGGTGATGCACAACCAGCTTATGGAAATCAATGCCTTAACCTCTCTGTGGTTTTCATCTGTAAAAACCAGACAGAACATCACCTGCTTCTTAGGGTTCTTGAGAGGATTAAGAATGTGAAAGCCCATGTGACCACTTACATGCCTGGCCCACAGTTGGGCCCCCTAAAATTGCTGTTTCTTTTTCTGACCTCTGCTCCTGGCTGGCATCGGCCACTCTCTTTGCTGGGGGTCTGGAGGAAGAATGTGGAGCATACGTGCCCTAAACTCCTGGGAGAAGGTCATTGGTGTACCTGCTTTGTGCAGAGGGTACTGGAATATTGCTTTAGCACCTACCCATGTTCACAGAAAAGGCCAGCAAGATGGCGAATTTCCAGGGGATGAGCTATAGTGCATCAGATTTGAAGGAACTGGCAGGATTGTCTGAGGACCCGACGGTGTTGTGCTGGTGGTCAGAGTTAGACTCCTGGGCCTTGGCCTTGACCTTCAGGTATTCCTCCACATCACAGTCACTCAGGGACCGGTTAAAGCTGATGATGGAGGAGATGGGCTCTATGCTCTCTCTCCCTGTCCTCATCCTCCCACTCCCACACGGTCAGCAACATGCTGTGCTGCAGCCAGCACTCCTGGCTGCAAGAAAATAGAAGCTGTCACCACCCTCTGGTCCAAGGGGTTAAGCCATGCATCCTCCAGGAAGACCCCCCTTCTCCTCACTCCCTTCCCTTGTCCTGTTCCTGGCTGAAAAGCCAAGGCCTCAATCACTGTGTGGCACACAGTAGGTATTCAATAGAGGTAGAAGATGAATGACGAAGGAACCGCAGAGACGGTGTGTATTAATCCATTTCTGTTGCTTACAACAAAATACTTTGAACTGGGTAATTCATAAAGAAAACAAAGTTCAGGGCTGGCCCCGTGGCTCATTCTGGAGAGGGTGGCACTGGTAGCGCCGAGGCCGTGGGTTCGGATCCTATATAGGGATGGCTGGTGCACTCACTGGCTGAAGGTGGTGCAGACCACACCAGGCCGAGGGTTGTGATCCCCTTACCCGTCAGAAAAGAAAAGAAAACAAAACAAAATTTATCACTTGCAGTTTTGGAGGCTGGGAAGTCCAAAGCCCAGGGAATACATCTGGTGAGGATCTTGGTGGTGGTGACGGTGACCCAGGGTATCACATGGAAGAAAATGGCAGAGCAGAGAGAACAGAGACTCTTCACGCTCCCCTTTTAAAGCCCTCAGAACCACACCCCTGATCACCATTATTAATCCATTCACTATTGCATGGTCCTACAATCTAATCACCTCTTTAAGACCCCACTTTTCAATTACTGTAAAAGGATTTCCCACCCTCTTTACACTGTCACAGTAAGGACTAAGTTTTGGGAGGACATTCAACCCAAGGCATGGTGGCTGACCATCCTCATTATAACGAGCAGCCCACTTTCTCCAGCTGGAGTCCAGCTGCTCCTCTTTTCACAGATCAGGAGTCAGGTCCCTGACCAACAGCGGGTGAGCGGGGCAGAGAATCCCCCGGGGGGCGCTCAGGCAGGTGGCGATGGTGTTGGTGAGGCTGCACCAAAGCACATATGCGTTTGCCATTTGGGGAAAGGCAAACCAGGCCTGGGGACAGCATATGCAAGAGCCTGACGAGGTCAAGGAGGGTGAGACCCCCGACGCAAGACATGAACTGGCATGGGGTGCTGGGCTCCGGGGACAAGCGCAGGGTCCGTGGAGGCGGAACTCCAGGCTAACGCAGAGAAGGGAGACTATACTGGAGGTGAGACAGGAAAGGATGCAGGGCTGGGGCACTGAGGTGGGGGTCGGGGTCCCCCCAAGGAGACGGTGGTACCTGAGAGCCGATGCGCAGGCGGCAGCCAGGGCTCAAACGGCAATGTCAGCTCCCGTCCCTGCTCCACAGCCGCCTCGGGGAGGAAGCTCCAGCGCGCAGACAGCCCCGCACGTGCAGACAGCCCCGCACCTGTCCACGCAGCTTTATTTGCTGGTTGCTAGGAGACGGGCGGTGACGGGGTCCCTCTGGGGGCGGGGCTTCTCGCCTCAGCCACCACCACAGAGGAGTCTGTCAACTAGGTGTATCCAAATTATGAAACCAATTGCCTGCCTTCATTCATTCATTCAATCTTCAAGGAATTTCCACTTTAAGTCAGCACCTATTATGCGCCTGACCCTTACTTATGGCATGGTGGAGAGGGGTCGCTGGCTCCTCCCTACACCTCCATCAGCTCCCACCTCCCATTCTTTAATGAAGGCGAAACAATTCCAGCCCCCAGCCTTTGAACCAGCCTGGCTGACACGGTGCAGAGCAAAAACATGCTGTCTCCACCAATTCTTCCCCAAGTTGCAGATTTATAAGCAAATTATTATTCTCTTAAGCCACTAAGTTTTGGGGTGATTTGTTGCACAACAATAAACAACTGGAACAGACCCCCTTTTTTTTTTTCATTCCCACCACCTCTAAAATGCTGTTGCATTGCCAAAATACAGAATCACTGCCCTGAGAGAGAGGGTGTCCAGGTCAGCAGCCAGGGCACCATGGGGTGGATGGAGACGTGCTGCCCAGTTCTCAGGCATGAGTGAGTGGTGGGTCCATGACCTCACCTCAGCAAAGATGGCTTCAGGACTGGCAAGGTCAGGAGAAAGGGAGGGGCTTCCTCTGCAGTTGTCTATTGCTGCATGACAAACCGTCCCCAACCTGGGGACCTGAGACAGCCACCACTGGTTATTTCTCACATTCTGCATTAGCTAGGTGGTTCTTCACGGGTCTCACCTGGGTGCACTCACTGGGCTGTACTCACATGGGGGGATGAAATGGCCAGATGCTTCAAGAAGGCCTCACTCACATGTCTGGGAGCTGATGTTGGCTCTAGGCTGGGGCACCTCAGTTCCCCTCCACGGGTCCCCACCCCCGATGGTAGACCAGCTTCCTTATATGGCGGTGGCCTCAGTCTCCTCCACATGGTGCCTCATCTTCCTGTGGCTGGACCGGCTTCGTCAGAGCAGAGTTCCAAGAGGGCAAAGGAGTGTGGCCAGGTCACTGGAGAGCTGGGCTTGGAATTGGCACAACGTCACTTTAGCAGCACTCACTGACCAAAGCAAGTCACATGGCCAGCCCAGATTCAAGGTGATGAAGAATGAGTCTTCACCTCTGGATGGCAAGAAGGGCAAAGTCACATTGAAAGGGGCAGCACCTGGGGTTGGGGGGAGTTTGAAACCACTGAGCAATTGCTCTTTCTTCCCCCTTCTTCCCGGGAGGGGGAGCCCCAGCGCTTCCCAGGCACGCAGGGCTTCCTGAAGGTATCCCAGGACTCGGCATTGGAAGCATGTCAGGAAACAGCTACATCCTCCTTCTTCTTGACACCTTAGTCTAGCCAAGGCAGTGCTGCCCTCCCTCCTCCATTTTTAACAGCTTTTATGAGATATGTTTTATTTCATAAAATCCATCCATTTCAAGTGTAGAATTCAGTGATTTTTAGTAACTTTATTGAGTGGTGCGAGCATCACCACAGATTAGTTTTAGAACATTTTCATCCCCCTAACGAGATCCTTCATGCACATTTACAATTAATTTCTGTTTCCATTCCAGCCCCAGGCAACCACTAATCTACTTTCTGTCTCTAAAAACTAGCCATGGAGTCATGCAACATGTGGTCTGGCTTTGTGACTTGCTTCTTTCACTCAGCAATTATGTATTTTGAGGTTCATTCATGTCGTAGTTTGTGTCAGTGCTTCATTCCTTTTTATGGCTGAATAATATTTCATTGTATGGTTATACCCAATTTGTCTATCCATTCATCACTTAATGGACTTTTAGACATTTATAAGAAATGCTGCTATAAATATTCACATGCAAACCTTTGTGTGGACATGTGTTTTCATTTATCCCGGGCAGATACCTAAGAGTGGAATTGCTAGGTCATGTGGTAGTTTTAGGATTAACTGTTTGAGAAACTGCCAAACTGTTTTCCAAAGCGGCTGCACCATTTTACGTTGCCATAGCAACATGTGAAGGCTCCTGTTTCTCCACATCCTTGATGAGATTCACTGTGTCTTATTTATTACAGCCATTCTCATGGGAGTGGTACAGTATCTCACTGTGGTTTTAGTTTGTTTTTCCCTAATGACCAATGATTTTGAAATCTTTTCATGTGCTTGTTGGCCATCCATAAACTTCTTTGGTGAAATGATTGTTCTGTCTTTCACTTGCTTTTTGATTGAATTGTTTGTCTTAGTATTGAGTTGTAAGACATCATGGTTGATTCTGAATACAAGTCCTTTATCAAGCATATGTTTTGCAAATATTTTCTCCCAGTCTCCTGTTTGTTTTCTCATTTTCTTAATAGTGTCTTTTGAAGTGCAAAAGTTTTGAATTTTGATAAGGTCCAATTTATCTTTTTCTTTTTTGGGCCATCCATTTGATATTTTATCTAAGAAATCTTTGCTTAATAGCAGGCCCATTTTTAATAGAAAAAAGTAAAACTTGGTGTCTGAACACTGAGCAAATCCATTAACCACAACTCCTAAAATTTCAAAAGCTTCATGACACTGAAAATAATGGCTCAAGGACATTCCCAGACACTTCTGGTCACAAAATGACACAACTTTCTGAAAGATATTTGGACAACATCAAGAGCTTATAAAATGTTCATTCTCCTCAACCCGGCAATAAATCACTAAGAATATAGAGCACACTGTTTACAGTATTGTTTTAATGGAGAAAAGCTGAAAACCACCCCAATGTGCGTCTATGGGGTATTTGGACAACATCAAGAGCTTATAAAATGTTCATTCTCCTCAACCCGGCAATAAATCACTCAGAATATAGAGCACACTGTTTACAGTATTGTTTTAATGGAGAAAAGCTGAAAACCACCCCAATGTGCGTCTATGGGGGATGACTAAGCACCACAGTCCAGCGTGTGGAGGGCGTGGGTGGCCTCAGGAGCAGTGCACGTTAGAAAACGTGAACGATGGCAAAGCTGTCCATGAGTCACTGCGCACATGCAGAGAAGGGTCCCAGTGGCGCGTTTCCTCTGTTTTTTTAAGTCGGATTTAATGAAGTACAATGTATATACTGTAAAATTCACCCTTTTAAAGCATTTTTTAAAAATTAAATTAAATTTATTTTTAAATTAAATTAAATTTAATTATACTTCTCAAAATACATTGTACTTGATTTTCATGCCCCTTTACCTGTTCCTCTCCACCTCCTCCCCTCCCCCCCACGCCCACATCGTATCTGTGCACTTGGCTTAACTAGCTCAAGGAATATTTGTGGTTATTCTGTCTTCTTCCCTTCACCCTTTATTTGTTTGTGTGTTTATTATTTATTAATTTTTAGCTCCTGCAGATAAGTGAGAACATGTGGTATTTCTCTTTCTGTGCCTGACTTGTTTCACTTAAGATAATTTTCTCTAAGTCCATCTATGTTGCTGCAAATGGTAGTATTTCATTCTTTTCTATAGCAGAGTAGTATTCCATTGTGTAGATATACCACAGTTTCCTTATCCACTCATCAGATGATGGACCTTTCGGCTGGTTCCAGCTCTTGGTTATTGTATATAG